AACACGTGGCTTTTGGGGGACATTCCAAACAGTGAATGTTTGGAATACCAGGAGGAAATGAAAGAGCCAAAGGAACACAAGCTGTATTTGAAGCAATAATGACTTAAAATTTTCCCAAATTAAAGTCAGACACCAAGTCACAAGTCTAGGAAGCTCAGAAAACCCCAAGCAGGGTAAATTCCCCCCACCAAAATAAAATAAAATAAAGTATATAACATTTAAACTTCATTAAATCAAAGACAAAGAAAAAGCCTTGAAAGAAGCTAGAGGAATATTTTTTTCATTATAAAAATTTATCAAAGTGATCAATTGAGTTTCAGAGGTTTGGTTTAGCAAGGTAAAAGACTAAAAACAAAACAACAACAATAAAAATAATTAAAATCATGTAAATTCATTTTCAACCTTCCAAGTAGAACCTAAGTTAAATAAATCCTCTGCTATTGTGAAGAGAGAGGAATATTATACCTTACCTATAGAGAAGCATATATAAGACTCCCACTCAACTTCTCAGAAACATGCAAGAAAGAAGAGTGAAGTGAAATATTTAAAGTTTTGAGAGAAACTTTAAATATTGAGGAAAAAAATCAACCTGGAATTCTGTACCCTACAAATTTTTTCTCCAAAAGTGAAGAGAAAGAAAGACTTTCTCATACAAATAAAAATTGAAGGAATCTGTTGCCAGTAGATCTGCTTTGCAAGAAACTGTAAAAGAAGTTATGCAGAGAGGGGGCAAATTATGTAGATCAGAAAGTCAAATATACATGAAGAAAAGGAGAGAATCAAAGAATGAATAAGTGAAGATAAAATTTTAAAAATATTGTAAGGTTAAAATCCTAAAGTCAATCACTCTTCTATCTATGAACAAACACATAGAATTTGAGATTAAAGTCACATTACATTTATATTAGCATGCCACAAAATGAAACACTTAGGTAGAAATCTCAAAAAAATATTAAAAGATCTATATAAGGAAAACCACAAAACAAATGATATAAAAAATTAATAAAATAGAGAAGTATTCATGTTCATGAATAAAAAGGCTCAATATTGTTAAGATGACAGTTTTTTTCCACCTTGCTCTGAATTGAATGTAATCCCTCTCAAAATTTGAGCAAATTACTAGTCTAAAGTTTATATGGAGAGGCAAAAGTTCTAGAATAGCCAATTTAATATTGAAGAACAAAGTAGAAAGATGATGCTACCTGACTTTAAGACTTATAAACATAGTCATTAAGGCAGTACAGTATGGGGGAAAGAACAATCAAGTAAATCAAGGGAATAGAATAACTTAGAAATAGACCCACATAAACATATTCAATTGATCTTTGACAAAGGAACAAACGCAATATAACGAAGTAAAGATAATCTTGTAAAGTAAATGATACTGGAAAAAATGAACACACAGAACTTACACCCATCACAAAAAAAAAAAAAAGGAATTCAAAATGAATCACAGACCCAAATGTAAAATGCAGAACATAAAATATCCTTGAAGATGACATACAAGAAAACCTGGATGACATTGGGCATGACAATGACGTTTTAGATAGAATACCAAAGGCACAATCCTGAAATAAATAATTGATAAGTTGGATTTCACTACAATTAAAAAACTTATACAACTTCTACTCTGTGAAAGGCTCTGTCAAGAGAATGAGAGGACAAGCCAAAGACTGGAAGAAAATATTTGCAAAAGGCAGATCTGATAAAGAACTGTTATATAAAATATGCAAAGAACTTTGAGAACTCTATAAGAAAATCAACAACCCAATTAAAAATGGGCAAAAGGCCTGAACACCTTGCCAAAGTAGATATATGGATGAAACATAAGCATATGGACAGGTTTTCAACTTCATTTGTCAGTAGGGAATTGCAAATTAAAACAACAGTAAGATACCACTCTACACCTATTATGGTGGCCAAAAGCCAAAACACTGACAGCATGAAATGCTGATGAGGATGTGAACAACAAGAACCACCATTCACTGCTGGTGGAAATGCAAAATACTACAGCCACTTTGGGAGACAGTTTGGCAGTTTCTTAAAAACCTAAACATTCTTACCACATGATCCAGCACTTATGCTCCATGGTATTTATCCAAGTGAATTAAAATTTATGACCGTATAAAAACCTGCACAGTGATATTTGTGGCAGCTTTATTCATATTTGCCCAAACTTGGAAGCAACCAAAATGTCTTTTAATAGGTAGGTTGATAAACTGTGGTACATTCAGACAGTGAGATATTATTTAGTGCTAAAAAGAAATGAGCCATTAATTCATGAAAATATGTAGAGGAAACTTAAATGCATATGACTAGGTAAAAGAAGCCAATCTTTTGGCAAAAGCTTCATACTGTATAATTCCCACTCTATGACCTTCTGGAAAAGGCAAAACTATGAAGATAATAAAAAGATGAATGGTTGACAGGGGTTGGTGGGAGAGAGGGATGAATAGGCAGAGCACAGAAGATTTTTAGGGCAATGAAACTAAACTGCATGATACAGCAATGAAGATATGTTTTCATTGTGCATTTATCAAAACCCATAGAATATGCAACACCAAGAGTGAAGCCTAATGTGGACCATGGTCTTTGGGTGATATGATGTGCCTATGTAAGAAATGTGCCACTGTTGTGGGTTGTTGATAGTAGGAAAGATTTCGCATATGCAGAAAAGGGATACAAGGAGTTTTGCTGTACTCAGCTCAATTTTTTTGTGAACCTAAAACTGTTCAAAAATAAATTTATTATTTTTTAAAAAGTCATAATTCGGACAAGTGTAATTGGATCCCTATTCCGTCTTATTAAAAAAAATAAACTCCAAATCGATTGAAAACCTAAATGCAAAGGTAAAATTATAAACCTAATGGAAGAAGATATTGGAGCATACCTTCGTGATCTTAGGGTTGTATTTTGTTTGTTTGTTTTTAAAGCAAGATCACAAAAGGGAAAGCCATGGGAGACATTGATGAAATTGACTAGGTAAAAGTTGTTTTTGGTAAATGACATATTCCAAAGGTAAACCTCTGGGTAACAGATAGGAGAAGATATTTATTAATGATGAGGTGTTCACATTAGAAAATGCTAAAAATCAGCAAGAAAAGGATAGGAAATGTACTGACAAAGATTCTGAGTAGATAATTCACAGAAGGGAAAACTTGATACATTTATGAAAAGATGCCCAAATTTTCTAGTATTGAGTTAAAACAAGAAGATGTTACATTATAACTGTGAAACCAGAAACCATTAGAAAGTTCAGTAATAACAAGTACTGATGAGGATATAGGGAAACTGGGAATGCTTGTGCATATTTGATGAAATAAAAGTTAGGAATAACCATTCTGTGGAACAATCTGTTAGTACCTGGTTAAATTAATATAACTATGCCCATAATTTAACAACTCAGCAATCCCATCTCACGTTTTCTATTGTTGAAAAACCAGGATCACAGGTACAACAGCATGAGATTTTCCAATGCAGCAATTTGTGGAGGCAAAGAGCTAGAAGTCAGAGAAGTGCCCCTCACTAGGAGAATGAATTGGCAAAATGTGTTGTATGCATAGTAAGGGACAGTAGGCAGCATTTGGAAGCAACGGATTATATTCACATATAGTAACACTGACATAGCTCAAACACACAAAGCCGAGTGAAAGAAACATTAAAACAAAGAACTCTATAATTTCAAGTGTGCATATCCATGCACAGAGAAACACTCAGAACGACATTAATTCAATACCTAGAAGTAGGTACTAAATAGAGGAGGGAAATGAAATTAGCATAAGACTATAATGGAAGATTGCCTTTCTTTGTCCAGGAATGAAATTATATAATGAATTAAGGAGTTCAAGTGACTTAATTCTATTGCTGACTATCTTATAAAGAAAAGGAATTTTTAAAAACAGAATAAATACAACACCAATGTACAATGTACAATAATCTTTCCAGATCATATTTTAAAATTAAATGTGTAATTCAGATAAAGCACTTAACTTAGTGCCCAACACATGCTAAACACACAATAAATGACATCTATTAATGCTATTAACAGTATTCATGACATAGCTTCAACCAACCAATTAAAGCTGGCACTTGAAACCAATTGGATGTAGGCGGCTTCCCCTCAAAGATCAGTATATACTAAACCATTATATATTAGAGGGGTGGGCAAGTACCAGGGAGACCCAACTGCAAGCAGGCAGAAGAGTTGAAACAGCCTGAAGAAATGAGAAAGGCTACAGTTGTATTTGTAGTATCCTAGGAAATCGTGATGATACATTTGGGAGAAGGATGATTATACACGGAACGCATAAATAAAGTAGAAACTACACAACTTTGAACAACTTTGAATCTGGGAGAGTATGTATTTTGCTGTATTTCCTCCAAAAAGTTATTTTTCTTTTAATATTTTAAGTGGCAAAACTATAGCTGAATAACAAAGAACAACTATATAGTGTTTTATTTGGATTATTTCTTCCTGTTCCTTCTCTGAGTGGGACATGGGTTCTCTAGTGAAACAAGCAAGATCATCACCTAGTGGTCAGTTCCTCAAAGTGCTTACACAAGGTCTGGTCTCTGAGAGTTTAGATGTGCCTGTGCTTGGCTTGGTGTTAATTCAGTAAGCATTGACTGGGACTCTGTGCTAGGCACTATTCTGGTGGTGGGATAACACAAAATGACAGGTTTCAAAATAAATTATGGGCTGAGTGCATGGCACACACCTGTAATCCTAGTGGCTCAGGAGGCTGAGAAGGAGGATGGCGAGTTCAAAACCAGCCTTAGCAAAAGCAAGGCACTAAGCAACTTAGTGAGACCCTGTCTCTAAATAAAATACAAAATAGGGCGGGGTATGTGGCTCAGTGGTTAAGTGCACCTGAGTTCAATCCCCAATTCACAATAAAAATAAAATAAATAAATTATGGAGGTATCACTATGGAAACTAAGGAGTCCAGCCTAAGTAATAATGTGTTTTAATATGTTTATTTTCCAATGGTTTTTTGTAGATCATAGATGAAGAAGAAACCCAATTTATGAGTAACTGCCCAGTTGCAGTCACCGAAAGCACCCCACGGAGGAGGACACGAATCCAGGTGTTTTGGATAGCACCACCAGCAGGAACAGGCTGTGTGATTCTAAAGTAAGTAAACACAGACTCCTTATGGTACTCCATACTCCTTTCCTTGGTCTCTCCAGGCTTACTGGTGTGTTTTCAGAAAGAGATGTTGCTTTACTAGGGCATTGGGCAAGGTGCATCATCTCTCCACCTTCTCGTATCTCCATACCAAAATGGCAGCCTAGGCCATCATTGGTGAAGTGATACATAATGATCCATTTGCCTGAATCTGTTTTCATCCTATTTTATCCAATAGGATGATTCTCCTGGCCATTCTCTATCTTGCTAGAGGTGTAATGCTACTTAGGGTTGGTTAGGAAAAATAACCACCCAGGTGAAGATAATCTTTGATTTCTCCATGTGGAATTAGCACTTTTTCTTTTTTTTAGAAATCCTAACAACTAGAATCCTTAAATTGTGCTTAGGTTAACCTCCTTTAGCCCCCAGCTCCACTTTGTATTATCTTCTTTCTTATCCATCAAAATTCCCCTCTACTGCCACCTCCCTTCTGGCCTCCTAATCCTCCTCTTGGTGAGTTACATTAGGTGATAAGAGGTATTGACCAGCCCACATCACTTTATTCTGAAAGGTAGCATTGTCCCAAACCAGTGTCTCCAAAATTGTGTGCCACAAAAGAATACTCTAGGAGATATAAATAGATGAGGGGGAAATAATTTCTCCTGTCCAATAAGTTTATCAAATGCTGAATACTGGATCCCTTTATTGCACATTCATAACATGTCTTAGCATATGAAAAGTTTTTCAAAGTCTTGCCCCACCCCGCCCCAAAAATATCTGCTTAACTTGGTTTCACCCACCATATCCCAAACTTATTTGACCTTATATGAGTTTCTTACATGTGAGGTGTGTGTGTGTGTTGACATTGGTTAGCATTCACTATATTGAGAAACAGCCACAATCTATTTTAAATAGATTTTAAAGGCTATATGGAATGATGCTGTGAATTTAGGATTTCAAGCAGGCAAATATTCATGAGTAGATGGCAGGGTTCCAATCCTAGCATCCGAGAAGTCATTTTTTTCATGGAGGTGGAGGCTGGAAGCTTCCCAACCATCTTCCTCTTCTTTAAATCCCCTAACATCTTTTTTTATGTATTTGGTTCATTTGCCTAATGTGGACATTTCAACAGGCTTCCCACTGTGATTAATCCAGCCCATCCCTGAAGAGATGCTGATAAGAAAGTCTCCTTCCCAGGCAGTCCAGACACTGCAGTTTGCAGACTGAGTCTGGCTTATAGAAAAAAAAAAAAAAAACAGAGGTCTCTGGAAGCATTTCACCATAGCCCAAACTCAGCCCTGTCTTGTCTGGCCTCCCTTGACTGCCATCCATCTGGACATTATTTGTTTCTTTCTTAGTTTAATGCAAGTTGAGCATCCTTCCTCAGATTCATTGAGAAGTTTGGTTCTTGACATTAACCTACATCAATTTTTTAAATTAGCAATAGAATTTCTTAAATCAATCTTATCTACAAGCCACATTATTGACATGTATCTTATTGAAATGTGGGAGAAGGCACTGTAGGGGAGATGAATAAAAAAAACACTGAAATGAGTATAGAGGCTGGTTCAGAGCTTGATATAATGTATAGCAAAGACAGCAGCTGCCATAACTGGCATTTGGCAGATACTCAAAGGCAGGCAGAAGAGTGAGGAAGCCGTGTAGTGGAAAAGAAAGGAAGGCTTCAGTCTGCTCCGTTGGGATTTGGGTGGCCCTGGGAAGCTGGAGCAGACTAACTAGAAGAAGAGCATCTTATGTGATGAGCAAGGAGGGTGAATCTGGCTTCCTCTGGTTGGTCCTGAGTTCAAACTGGGGTAAGTGATGAGGGCAAAAATAGAGAAGTTGGCAGTCATTGATTGGTTCTTGATTGTTGTAGGTCAACTGAGGCAGACCCAGGGGCTAGAGTTCTGTTGTCCTTGTTATATAAAGTATATTTTGTGTCTCAGCCTGAAACTGGATTTCCAGCTTGGCTCTCTAGTACCCAAACCTCTATCCCTTGTTAGACTGATCACTCCACCGAGCCAGGGGCTCTGAAGAAAAGTTTGAAATTGTCAGGTCTGTGCAATGAGATGTGGCCCATTTCTTCTGGCCCACATCTCTGTTTTTTGTTTTGTTTTATTTGTTGTTCTCACAAACCAGAAGTATTTGATCTTTCTGGTGGAATCCAGAAAGGCATGCCTTGTTTACCCACTAACAACCAACATATGTGAACATATGTTGATCCATTAACAATTAATATATGGGTCTTGTTCATTCACTCATTTGACAGATGTGACTGAGCTACTATTTGCCCAGCCATCCAGGATGTCCAGGCCACCAAGATGGGTTCTTGGCCCTGGAGTTCTCACAGGTCAGATGGAGAGAGAGAAGAAAACAGCCAACACTTTCTATGTGCCAGGAATTCAGCTGCACATCTAGCAGGCTTTGGCTAGTGTGGTCTTCACAGCAAAATATCCATATTTTACAAAGGAGGAGATGGGCCTCAGGGACTTAGACAGCTTCTTGAAGTCACACATCTATTGAATTCTAAATTCCTTGTTCTTCCTTTATTTCTTTCTGAAGAAGTTATATCTATAAGCTACAACTCTTCATTAAAGAAATAATAATTGAATAGTTAGGATAGAAATACAGTTATGATGTAAAATTTCCAACAATACAAAAAGGAATGAAATACAGAAAAATATAGAATACAGGAAAAGTGAAGAGTCCCTGACATCTGCCCCAATAAATCACAGTTTCCCAAACAAAGCCGCAGTAAATGCCAATTTGGTGTGTATGCTTTAAACCTTTTGTGCATTTATATTCGTAAAGGTCAACATAGAAGTACAGTTTCATTTTTGTGGGAATTTAAATTTTCACACATGGTATTGCACTGTACACAAATGTCCTGAACTTGAATGGTTTTTCCCTAAATAAAATAGATTGAGAGATGCCCAGATCAGTCCATATAGATCTACCTTTTTGTTGTTGGTGGTGGTTTTTTGGTTTTTTTTAAAAACAACAGTTACCTATAACCTCTGGTACAAATGTGTTAATTATTACATAGTTCATAAATAGATTGTTTCTAGTTTTTTATTATTACAAATAAAGTTATGATGAACATCCTACATAAGCTGCCTTGTTGGACAAATATGCAAGCTTTTGTCCACAGTAGATGCCAAAAATGAATCATAGAGGATGAACATTTATCATTTCAGTAGACACTATCAGATTTTGTTCCAAAAGGCTTGCCAACTTAAATTCTCTCCCTGTGAAACAAGAGACTTTGTTCCTTGCTGACTCAATAGCCCTCAACATTATCAATCTTTAAGATGTTGCCAAAACGATTATCTTGTATTCATTTACATTTTCCCTATTACTTGTATATTAGGAATTTTTTCATATTGTAGTACTCCTTCTGTGAATGGCCCATTCACATTCTTGTTCATTTTTCTAATAATGTGTCTTTTAAAAATTGATTTTGTATATTTTATTTTATATTATAAAAATATAAAATTTTAAAGTATTTATAAAACATTTTATATATAAATATAAGTTGTTTATAATACATAAATTTAATTAAAACATTTATATTTTAAATTTATTTCTATATAGCTCAGATAATAACAAACTTTTTATTATAAACTTCAAATATTTCTCTTCACCTCCCTTTTAATTTAGCTCATAGTTGTCTAATCATCCAAAAACTTAAGTTTTGATTTGACCAATGGTATCCATGTTTTCCCTATGGATTTTGATTTTTTTTTTAATCTTGGTCAAAAATTCTTCTACACTCAAGGTTATATACTCCCAAATTTAAAATATTTGTATAGATTTTTCAAATAAATTTAGGTCTTCAATCTTCCTGGCATTTAATTTTGTGAATGATTGGTATCTACCACAATAGGAAATGGATGGCATGTTCCAAATGAGGTGCCAAAGGAAAGCTGAGAAAGGGTCTATTTACAATGGTGTGGACAAAAGGGTAATGATGGAGGCCCATACCAACCAGGCCTGAAGGGGAATGGGGAGGGGATGCAGGGAACAGGGCGAAGACCACAGGAGCCATGAGCGGAGATCTTTGATTTAGGGAAACAGCTAATATGAGGCGACCACACTGAGGTCCCAATCCCACCCCCTTTCTCTGCTTGCTGTGGGTTCTCCCCCTTTGGCCTGGCCCCAACCATGAGGATCATGGAGCACATTGACCCAGTCCATAGAGAGTATCCACTCAGGCAAAGACCAAGGTATGGAGTGTGATGTCTAGAGGAGCAAACCCAAAACAACACCACAAATGGGAAATCTAAATCCATCTTGATCCAAAATGGATAATTGTCCCATTCATTTATCAGAGAATATATCCTTTCTCCAATGCTTTGAAATACTACAGTATCAAAAACAAAATTTTTTACAACTCTGTTCAGTTTTATTGGTCTTTTTCAAATCTCTTCTTCTATGAAACCTACACCATTTTATAGCAAAATGTTGTTTTGATAACAAGTCAGCTCTCATTAATCTTTTAGTTCAAAATGTTCATGGTCACTCAAGCAGACTCATAATTCCGGGTTAATCATAGAATAAGTCTATTATGTTCAATAAGACCTTATATTGGAATTTTAAATGAATTGCACTGAATCAATAGTTGGAGGAAAAGTTGGCATTTCTAGCTTATGGTTTTCCAGTCAATAACGTGACATACCTCCTTTTTTTTTTTTTTTTTTTTTGCTCAGGTCTTTCATGTGCTTCATAAAATTTTATGATTTTTTTTTCATTTAGACTGTTCATTCTCATGAGGCTTCCCCCACCCCTGCCCCGTGGTTGATTTACAGTCTTGTTGCTTTCGTGAATGGGATCTTTTTTTCTCTTATGCTTTCTAAACACTGATGGTTTGTGTTTAGGAAAGCCATTGACTTTTGTCCATGACATTTTGATCCAGACAATGCTGAATCCCCTGGGATAGTTCTCATAGCTTGTTCTTTCATGCTTTGGGGATTGTAAATGTAAACAATCATATCTAAAAGTGCATA